TCTTCCTTTACTTTGTATGTGGGATGCCTCCACAGTGTGGCTGATGAGTAGAGTTTGTTCGCACCCAGGATCTAAACCTGGGATCTGAACTCGTGAACCCCGGGCCATGGAAAGTGGAGCGTGCGGGACTTTTAACCACATGGGCTATTGGGCTGGCCCTGGAATTTCCTTCTAAATTTATTTTGCTGGGAGTTTTTATCATGAGAGGGTGTTGAAACTTCGTCAAATGCTTTTTTCTCTATCTATTAAGAATGATCATGTGGTTTTTATCTTTCATTATGTGAACTAGTGTATCACATTGATTTTACATATTTTAACCAATCTTTGTATGCCAGGGATTAATCCCCAATTGGTTTTGGTGTATAATCTTTTGGATGTGTTGAATTCAGATGGCTAGTATTTTACTTAAGGTATACTTCTTATTCATAATGCTTGACCAATAAAATTTCTGCATCTCTGTATGTCTGAAAATGTATTTATTTTATTCTCATATTTGAATTCTATATTGCATGGTATAGAATTAAAGGTTACAGTTATTTGCCCTTTAGAACATTAAAGACTTTTTACCATTAACTCCCAGTTTCTAGTTTTGTGGGCAAAATGTCTGATGCCAGGCTGATTTTTATTTCCTTTATGGCCTGTTTTTATTTTATAGATTTAGTATCCTACTGAATTCCTAATAATATAGAAATTGCTATGTTTAGAGTTCTATTTTGGCATCATTCTTTTTTGGTTTTCTTCCTAAAAATATCAAAATGGCTATGGATCTTTTGAGAGACTACTGATGACTACCCATGGTTGACAAAATTACACAAAATTACATAATAATTTTATGGCTTTAATTTCCATCTATGTGCTCAAGGCTTCTACATTTCTATGACCTACATCTTTCTGAGGATCAGAAACATATATTTGATTGTATGTAGCTACTTGAATCTCATTCAGTACATTGAAAACACATTTATCTTCTCTCTGTTCCATCCATCCAGTAATCTAAGCCAGAAACTGGGTGTTACCCATGACTCTTCTATCTCTAACATCTGCTATCAAGTTCTTTTGTTTATAACTCCTAAATATTTCTAAACCCTTCTCTATTGCTCTGTTAGTTTGGGTTCCCTGGATTCAGACTTTGAGATGGGGATTTTTATGAAAGTGATTTATAAGCAGGAGGGGTTCAAGGAAGCTGACCATGGCAGGGGAAAGAAAAGATGTGGTCACAAATGGATTCCAGTTTCAGCCTGGAGCCACAGGAGCTCTGGAGTATACACTGTACCAGTGAACTGGTTCCACCTTGAGGCAATGGAGCCAGGCATTTTTACTCCCACTCCAGTCATTCATTGGCCACTTGTAGGTCCTGGGATGGTGGCACCATGAGGTATTAGCAGCCCAAGCACACAGCAGCAGGGGGCCTGAGTTCACTCCTGGTGATGAGGATTAGAGCTGGACACAGTGGTGTCCACCAAACTTGCATCATCACTGGAACCACCAGAGGACAGGCCTCCATCCTTTCACACCGAAATCATTACAGTAACCTCCAAACTGCTCTCCTCCTGTCAGTCTTGTCTCCTGCAAACCATTTCCCATACTGTAACTAGTTATCATTCTAAAACTCAAATCTAACTACATCATTCACTAGCTTAAAAAAGCTTTCAATATTTTCTCCCTGGTACCAGTTTGATCCTCCCCATTCTTGTCTCTCCAACTTCATATCTTGCCCTTTACCCTTGTACAAGCTCAGTGTCCAGCATGATGTCCAGCACACAGTGTGGGGTTCAATACATAATTGTTGAGTGAAAGGATGAATTAATAACCACAGCCATATTGAACTAATTAGGTTTTCTGCATACTCTTTTTCACCTCCCGGAGTCTTTCATATATTCTGTTTGCTAGAATGCTCTTTCAGCTTCATGCCTATTCTCTGCCAACCAACTTCTTTTCATCCATTGGGTCTGATTTTTGATGACTTTTCATCTAGGAATCTTTTCCTGAGCCTGCATATCTTAGCTGTCTGTTACTCTAGTGTGGTTTCATAGTACCCTGTACTTCCACTGTTTTATCATTTATAACACTGTTGTAATTTTCTGCTCCTTCTTGGGAGTTTTCAGTGGATACTAAACTCTGTGAAGTCTTTTTTTATTCACCCCTGAAGCCTTGGCAGCTATCGATGTGCCTGATACATCCCTTGGCCTCAAAAATATTTGATGATAATGAATGAAGTATAGAGGAGTGAAAGAAATATATTTATCCTGAAGTTGCTTTGTGTATATATGGAGCAAGATATTTTTTAAAACAGCTTTCAATAATGAAATGTTACCCAAAAAGTAAACTGATAAACAGAAAAATATACCATAAACAGCTCATATTAACAAGAAAATAAGTTCTCCTCAGAGCAGGGAGAATATCAAGGTAAACTATTTGCTCATATGCTGAGAATTGTAGTTTCAATTTCTTTCTCATCCTCAGTTTAAGCCAGAGTAAGAACAAACTGTAGCTCCCCCAAGGGTTCTAGGCAGAATTCTCCTTGTAGACAAATAGGATAAAAGTATGAAAGAATTCCCTGGGTTTCAGTGCTACTTTCTTACTCTTCATTTATTGAATTGATTCACGTTCCTTTATACTTTCACTTATTCAATCAATATTTATTGTGCGCCGGACACTGTTCTACCTTGTAGAAGGTATTGTTATATAGCAGGCAAGTACGTGATAGAGGATGGCTGAATATTTAATAAGTAAAAATTCCTGTCGGACCTCAAAATAATCTTTTATTTGAATCACTGCTCTTTCTGATGGGTTATCAGCATAAGATGGGTGATAAGAGTAACACAAAATGGTTCTGATGCTACAAGGAAATTTAGAAACGTGGTATAGTCTTCATTACCTAACCCTCAGAGGTTAAATGGTCAAAGCTTTTATAGCCCTAAAGTAGTTACACGCCAAAATGTTACAGGCAACATAATACAATCAATTGTGATATATAAAAAGTGGCACAGATATTAATGAAAACTTATTAAATTAAATTAATATATACTTTGTGTCCAGCACAATCCCTGGCTTAATAAATGGTAACAGTATAATTATCTGATCTGTCATATTGTCTGATAGTTAACAGAAGATAAGGACATGATCTGGGAAAGCAGTCAATTCTGGTTACTGGCTTTCCAATATGTCTGTTTTAATACCTTCCCCTTTCTCTCCGTTTCCTCACCTGTAAATTGGCGGTGATGGCAATACTTAACTCTGGAGTTTTACAGAAATTACTGTTCAATAACAATATATTCTTACTTCTTTAATTTGTTATAAGGATAGCCTGTGAATCCACATATATGGTTGAAGGTAGAAAATCCATACTCTAATTTGGTAGAGATTTTTAAATATAGGAAGAGTGCTCCCAGGTTATATATTTTTTTCTCTTTTACTGCACCATTTCTTCTCCACTCAGTGCAGAATCTAAGATTCATAGCTGCTAATTTTATTCTTTATTCCCTAAGTGTACCTTACTGAAATCATCTCCAGTGTCCTTTTGGCTCTTGCCTCAGTTGAATCAATGTTGGTCTCCAGGCACATTTATTTCTCACATGAAATAGCTTTCCTATGACACAACTTCCCAATAGCATTTTTCATCTGGGCGTTTCTCAAGGTATAAATTAAGGGATTTAACATGGGAGTTATGATATTGTAGGATACAGCAACTGCTTTATCAATTGATAAAGTAGCTGCAGGTTTCATGTACACAAATATACAAGGCATAAAGAATAAGATGACTACTGTGATGTGGGAGGCACAGGTGGAGAGGGCTTTGCGCCTTGCCTCCAAGCTGTAGGTCCTTAGGGAGTGCGGATGACCACATAGGAGACCATCAAGAGGAGGAAGTTTAACAGGCAGATGAACCCACTGTTGGCAGCAACAAAGAGCCCTAGAGTGTGGGTATCAGTGCAGGCAAGATTGAGCAAAGGATTCAGATCACACATAAAGTGATCTATGACATTAGGGCCACAGAAGGGTAATCGGAAGATGAAGAGGATTTGTATGGTTGCATGAAGAAAGCCTCCCACCCACACCACTCCCACTAGCAGGACACACACCTGCCAATTCATTATAATTGTGTAGTGCAAGGGCTTGCAGATGGCTACATAGCGGTCATAGGCCATCACAGTGAGCAGTATGCTCTCAGAACCTCCAAAAAAATGTTCCCAGAATATTTGGGTCATGCATTCATTAAATAGGATGGTCTTCTTTTCATGGAGTGAATCTATGATCTGTTTGGGGGTACTGCCAGAAGGATAGCAGGCATCAATAAAGGAGAGATAAGCCAGGAAAAAGTACATGGGAGACCCCAATGATGGGCTGGAGGTGATGGTGACCACGATGAGAACATTTCCTACCACAGTGATGATGTAGATGACAAAAGTCAGAGCAAATATGATTTTCTGCATCTTTGGATTCTCTGTGAGCCCCAGTAGAACAAACTCTGTCACATTGTTCCTGTTTTCCATGTGTTTCATGCGGTGGTTAATTATAGTAACTGAAAAGAAAACAATTTTTATTAACGTTAACTTTGAATTTATGAAACTTCCTATACTATTATTTAATAAATTCTTGGATTCTGTTGAGTTTTGAATTCTTTTGAGGTATTTTTTTTGGTATTTATTTGTGTGTGCACCAGAAATAAAGACTCTGAGTTCTTGAAGATTACTCAAATTGCCTCCAAGGGGAAGTCTTTGTTAAGGTTAGAGACATTAGGAACTTTGTAAACACACAGGCAGGAGACCACCTGTGGACACTTAATCACCCCAGATGACTAAGAATTTAACTTGAAGTAGTAGACTGCACACACAGTGGCAGGCAAGCCTAAAAGGGAAGTAAAAGATAGATGTCAAGACCATAAATGCAAAGCTACAGAACTTTTCCTTTAATCTCTAGGAAATGGGAAACCACTGAAGGTTATTGATAATATGAGTGGAAGGATGAAGAGGAATTTGAAGAAGGGGAATTCTTAGATATTATTCTAGTAAAAGATCTTTGTGTGTCTCAGATGAAAATGGGTTGAGGTTCAGTAAGGGGGTGAAGGCAGACACAGGAATCCCTGTGATTTCCTGCCCAAGATCAAGCAGCTAATAAACCCACAGAAGCAAAGATTGGGTCAGATTATACTTGTTAATTTTTTCCCTCCAAATTCTTAACCTGTACGCCCCTATATCGTTACACTGTAATAAAAAATATTCAACTAGTAATCTTTTTTGATATGGCCATAATAATTATAATTACTTTAATACTACTTGAGAGGCAAGATTTTATAGAACAATTTCGTCAGCGCACACACATGCAACATACACCCACTGACATATTGGAATTCCTAAATGTTAAGAAAAATGTGATGCTGCTTTCTGTGAATAGTCCTTTTATCCTTGCCTCTCCATAAGCCCCAAATATTCCTTCTTCCATCCCCCTCCAAAAAATGGGCTCCCACACAATATCAGAAAAAATTTTCCCAATGGTTAAGTGTATTGGTTTAAGAATCAAACAGACCAGATCAGAATCCTAGTTCTTCTACTTGTAATATCTTTTATCTGGGGTATATTACTTTGGCACCTTACATTCCTAGTTCTCTCTTCTATAAAGTGAGAATAATAATAGCCCCCTCACTGGTTGTTATGAGAATTATTTGAGGGAACATGTATGACACATCCACCACAATATCTGGGACACACATAGAACTTTCATTTTATGACTGTGTGCACCTAAGAGATCGGAAGAACTGACAGTTTGATCAATACTACAGAGAAACATTTACCTATGCAATGAGCTCAGGAAGAATTGTTTCTAATTTTACCCTCAAAGAATCCACAGAGACTCATATTATCCATAGCAATTGATCCCAGTAAGTACTCTCCATGTTTGCACTTGGACTAAACAGTTGATGATTTATGATATTTCAAATTCACATTTATGTCTTTTGTGTATGCATAGTGTAGTCAAATTTTGCTTTTATTCTCATGATTAGTCTTGCTATTAAAGGAGATGTCTCATGGCAAGAGCATGGTATCTTGTGTCAGAGAGCTGGGTCCTACAATTTGCTTAATTTCTATGAGCCTCAACATTTTCAACTGTCAGATTAGGTTAATGATAATTAAGAATTATCTTTTAAAGAATTGAAAAATAATGAGTACTATATATAGAAAGTAATCTTTAATAAGCATCAGCACTATTGAAAGACTTACCTTAGCAGTCTTAGATGATCTTAATGATGTTTGTGGGTGTCCAGAAACAATTCCATATTCAAACTGACTGCCACTTGTAATAAGTAACTTGCAGCATGAAAGATGTGTCGTGCTTGGGAAGAGCCTCTTCAGATAATTAACTATCAAATGAATAGCTGTTAAGAAATTGTATACATTGAACTTGTGCAATATTTTTGTTATATCAATTTACCTCAATAAACCCCCTTAAAAAAGAAAGTGTCCTTATGAATCTAGATCTTTCCATCTAGCCTAAAGCCTCAAAAGTTTTTCAAAGAAAACCTGTTTTATGGTTTTGAATTTAGAGCGGATTCACTTGCAACACTATGGAGAAATGATCTTCTGTATACGGCCCTGGTCCCACAGAGGAAGAGGCCGACAGTGTAGAGGAAACACATTCTAAATGTTTACTCTGCCCATAAAGATTCTTGCTCTGAAGAGGTGAACAACAAAAAACGTTTTCACCTTGCCCCGTGGAGATATTTATAATAAGAAAGTTTCCATGAGGATTAAGGGACTTTGTCTTTTATCTGCTATTTTTCTCTCCCAGGAATTAATTATCTCCTTTGCTGGAAAGGCTCTGTCTTAGAACCAGGTATTCTGGAGAGACCTATTTGAGAAACACTCATTCTTGAGTGAGGAATTATATTCCTACACTTGGAACCTAAGAATGTAGGAGCCCCCTTTGTCTATCGGAACCTGGGTTGTTAACAAAGCTGAATGTCCAGTGAATAACAAGATATGATAGCAAGGTGGCCTAATTCCAGCATGTGGAGCTGCGATGTAGTTTCCCTGTTGACTCAGGTCACAGAAGTTTCTATCTGCTTATCAATGTTAAACTTTTATTGGAAAACCACTGCTGATCGTTTGAGAATTAGATCAGTGAGAGTCTAAAATTAATGGTGGCCATCTTAAAATTTTTTGACTCTAAAAGTTATTTTTCTTTTTGTCTTTCCCCAGATTTATTAAAATGTCATGGACAAATAAAATTGTATATATTTAAGGTGTAGAACTTGATATTTTGATATAAGTATATATTGTGAAGTAATTGCCAAAATCAAAATATTTAACATATTCATTACACACATCATTACTATTTTTTTTGTGCGTGTGGCAAGAACACTTAAGATTTATCCTCTTAGCAAATTTTAAGTATGCGATACAATATTATTAACTATGATTGCATTGCTGTACAATAGATTTCCAGAAATTATTCATCTTGCGTAACTGAAACTTTGGTCCCCTGATCAACATCTCCCTGTTTCTCCACCCCCTGCCTTTGGCAATCAGCATTCTACTCTCTGCTTCTGTAAGTCTGAATATTTTAGATTCCACAAATAAGTAGGGACATGCAGTATTTTTCTTTGTCTGGCTTATTCCACTTAGCATGATGTTCCTCCAGGTTCATTTGTCACAAATGACAAATTTCCTTCTTTTTAATGATTGTGTGATATTCCATTGTACATATATACCACACCCATCAACAGACATAGGTTGTTTCCATACCTTGGCTATCAGGAATAATGCTGCAATAAACACGAGTGCAGATATCTCTTTGAGATACTGATTTCAATTCCTTTGGATATATGCCCAGAAGTGAGATTGATGGATCAAAAATAGTTCTGTTATTTTTAATTTTTTGAGGAACCTCCATACTGTTTTCCATAACGGCTGTGCCAATTTACATTCCACCAAGCTTGCACAAGGGTTCCCTTTTCTCTGCATCCTCAACACTCATTACCTTTTGTCTTTTTGACAATTATTGTTCTTACAAATATGAGTTGATACCTTATTGTGGTTTTGATTTGCATTCCCCTAATGATTAGTGATGCTAAACACTTTCTAATATTCCTGTTGGCCATTAGTATGTCTTCTTTTGAGAAATGCCTATTCAGGTCTTTTGCCCATTTTTCTTTTTCTTTTGGCTGAGGAAGATTTGCCCTGAGCTAACATCTGTTGCCCATCCTCCTCTTTTTTTTTTTCTTGAGGAAGATTAGCCCTGAGCTAACATCTATGCCAGTTTTCCTCCACTTTACACATGGGATACTGCCATGGCATGGCTGATGAATGGAGCAGGTCCACGGGCCCGGACCTGGGCCATCAGAGTGGAGTGCATGGAACTAGCCGCAGGCCCTGGCCCTCCTTTGCCCATTTTTTAATCAGGTTGTTTGTGGTTTTGCTATTGAATTTATATGTTCATTGTATATTTTAGATATTAACTCCTTATCACATATATGGTTTGCACATATTTTCTCACATTCATTGGTTTCCTTTTCACTCTTGATTGTTTCCTTTGCTGAGCAGAAATTTTTTAGTTTGATGCAATCCCACTTGTTTGTCTTTGCTTTTGGTGTCATATCTAAAAAATCATTGCCCAGACCAACGTCAAGAAGATTTTTCCCTATGCTTTCTTCAAGTTTTATGGTTTCAGGTCTTATGCTTAATTCTTTAATCCATTTTGAGTTGATTTTTGTATATGGTGCAAGATAAGGGTCCAATTTTGTTCTTATGAATGTGGATATCCAGAGTTCCCAAACCATTTCTTGAAGAGACTATCCTTTCCCCATTGTATGTTCTCGATAGCCTTGTTGAAGTTTAGTTGACTTTACATGCATGAGTTAATTTCTGGAGTCTGTATTCTATTCCATTGGTCTGTAAGTCTGTATTTTTGTCAGTGCTCACTGTTTTTGTTATAGTAGCTTTGTAATATACTTAAAAATCAGGAATTGTGGGGGCTGGCCCCGTGGCCGAGTGGTTAAGTTCGCGCGCTCCGCTGCAGGCGGCCCAGTGTTTCGTTGGTTCGAATCCTGGGCGCGGACATGGCACTGCTCATCAGACCACGCTGAGGCAGCGTCCCACATACCACAACTAGAAGGACCCACAACGAAGAATACACAACTATGTACCGGGGGGTTTTGGGGAGAAAAAGGAAAAAATAAAATCTTTAAAAAAAAAAAATCAGGAATTGTGATGTCTCCAATTCTATTCTTCTTGCTCAAGATGGCTCTGGGCATTCCAATTTCTTTTGTTGTATGAATTTTTATGGAAAGGTGTTTTCGCTTTTCTTGTAGAGCTATGGAATAGCCAAAAACCTTAGAAGGCTCCAGATTACAATTATTTCTGGCACTTATGGGCTGGTCAGTATGGAATATTAGACAGCATTAAAAATGTGGGAAGATATATAAAAGACAGTAAGAAAGTTCCAGTTCCACATCTTTGTCACTTGTAATTACTACTAGTTGTTTTTCCTTGAGTCATTCCAAGAGGTATGTCGTGGTAAGTTGTTGTGGTTTTAATTTTTCTTCCCTAATGCTAATGATGTTGGGCATTGTGTTTCTGATGTTCTTATTGACTATTTGTATATCTTCTTTTGTGGTATTTCTGTTCATGTCCTTTATACTTTTTAAAAATAGGGTTTTAAGGGGCTGGCCCCGTGGCCGAGTGGTTAAGTTCGCGCGCTCCGCTGCAGGCGGCCCAGTGTTTCGACGGTTCGAATCCTGGGCGCGGACATGGCACTGCTCGTCAGACCACGCTGAGGCAGCGTCCCACATGCCACAACTAGAGGAACCCACAACGAAGAATACACAACTATGTACCGGGGGGCTTTGGGGAGAAAAAGGAAAAAATAAAATTTAAAAAAAAAATAGGATTTTAAAAAATTTATATATTTAATATATTTATTTAAATTTTATCCTGCTCCATGGATCGTCTTTTCAGTCTTAAAAATGATGAAATCTGATGAGTAGAACATTTAAGATTACAGTAAAGTCCAATTTTTCATTAATTCTTGCATTACATACTTATCACATCATATCAAATAAATATTGGTCTACCTTAATATTTTTAATAGATTTTATTATCATTATTATTATTATTTTAGATTAAGCTTTAATATGTAGGTCTCTGACTCGTTTAAACTTAGTTTTTGTGTATGGTGTGAGGTAGTTGTTACTGTTTATTTTTTTCCCTATAGATATCCAATTGACACAGCATAATTTGTTTAAAAGTCTATTCTTTAACCATTGAATTACCTTGACGTTGTAAAAGAATGAGCATTATTGAGTTTATTTCTGGACGTTCCATTGTTTCTGAACATAGTTATATGTTTTTCCTTATGCCACTCAATATTGATTACAGGAGCTTAAGAGTAAGCCTTGAAATTAGGTAAAGTTCACCAACTGTGTTCTTTTTGTCAGAGTGATTTGCTATTCTAGGCTCTTTCAAATTTCTACATTTCTGTATAAATTTCAAAGTAAATTTACCAATTTCTCCAGCAATCTTGTCGGGATTTTGATTGGAATTGTATTGAAAATTTAGAATTGGTAGGGTAAGCATGTTGGGTTTTCTATTCCATCTGACATCGTATTTCTCCCTATTTATGCATTTAATTTTATCAGTGGTGTTTTCTAGTTTTCATGCACAGATGTTGAATATATTTTTAAAGTGTAACCCTAATATTTCACTTTAAAAAATGGCATTGGATATAGTATTTTGTTTCTAACTTCAATTTCTAATTGTTGCTATTGTAGAAATACAATAGATTTTTTATATTGACGTTGTGACCTGCATCCTTGCTGAATTCACTAAGGCCAATTAGTTTTTTAAGTGTATTTAACATTTCTCCATACATAATTATTCCATCTGCACAAAAATACATTTTTACAATTTTGCTTCTTCCTTTCCAATCTGTGTCTTTTCTTTTTCTTTTCTTATTGCAATGATTAGAACCAGAGTAAAATATATAATAGTAATGGTGAGTGGATATCCTTTTCTTGTTCCTATTCTTAGAGGGAGTGTATTCATCATTAATATGATGGAAATTATGGATTTTATATAGATGCTCTTTATTAGGTTGAGTAAGTTGTTTTCTAGTCTCCATTTGCTAACATTTAAAAAAAATAAATCTGGGCTGAAATTTATCAATTTTTATGCATCTCTTCAAATAATCATGTGATTATTCTCCTTCATTCTGTTACTTTAGTGACTTACATTGAATGATATTTGAATGTTAAATCAACCTCTTATTCATTGGCAAACTCCACATGATTATGATGCATTATTATTTTTAAAAATCATTGATGGATTTGATTTACTGATATTTTGTTAAATGTCTTTTGTATACGCTCATAGGTATATT